TGCAACGAAAAACAAATGTTACAGAACACAAATTGGATTCATTATAAAGTATTAATTTGTGTTAATTTTTCTTTACAAAAGTAGCGAAAATAAGAAAATGGAAGACGAACTTGTTCATCGACAGTTTGCATAAGAAAACCACGATGATTGGTACAAACCGAGAAGGTATTGGGAACCTTAAGCATTGCTTGTTGATCTTCTGAGTATTCCACTCGAGCATTCGCTAGATTTATGATTCCACGTATTACCTAAACACAAAACCAAGCAGAAAATAATATTTTGTCTTACTTTTGTTTCATATTTTAATATTATTCATTTTTAATTATTATATCAATAAAAGCAGTACACTGCTAACATGAATATTTAAATAACAGATAATGTTAGATAAGGAAAAGTTATTAAAATATGAAGTGTGTAAGTTGCAAGTCTTTCTAGCAGAATAAATTATCTGCTCAAGATTTTTGTGAATCATCAAATTTTAAAAATGTACTGAAAAAAAAAGCTCATGTAATTTACCCTAATATTTTTTGAGTATTGCAAGTTAAATAATTATTTTTTAACAATTATAATTCAGGAACAATAAACTCAGATGGAAAATAATGTGTGAAAATTAGAGAAAAAAAACGATCAAAAACAAAATTACCATATCTTTGTCATCGCGGAACAATAAAATATATGGTCTCCTAACAACTACCCAACGTTTTACCCAACCTTGTGTTTTTTCTTCAAGGAAATTCATATACCCTTTTCTGGAGACCACAATACCTACGCGTTCTTCTGTTACCTATATGATGAAAATTATTTTCAAACTTCTTCATGAATGCACGCTTGATTTTTTCTGTTTTTGTATTTTGTTATTAGTAAATACTAAATGGAAATCATAATGAAACTTCAGCTGAATTGGTCATTGAAAGTATAAATTTTGTTCAAAAAAATTGAATTTGAATCACAATTTTCTTAAGGAAAAGAAAATTTTCAAATTATATAAGCGATAAAAGTATTTGAAATTTAAGATTATTCTATTGTTTGAATGTATTCATACAAATGATAATGCTAACTTCAGGAATTAATAAAGACATCTGTGAAATTCGACTTCCACTCATCGATCTTTGCAAGCCACTGTCTGTTTCGTTGCTTTCTACACTAAGCATCAAATTCTGATTTGATTTTGACTTAATTTTATTCAAAAATTCGAGCGATGCCGAAGGTTTTATTACAACATTGCTGCAAAATTAAAACTAAATTATGAACTTTTTTAAATAAGCATACAAAACTAAGCTACTTTATATAGTAAATTTATGAAAAATGTCAATTTTTCAAAAAGTTATACTTTAGATAACGAATGCAAACTAAGAAAAATAAGAAAAACCTTCAATTTTTCTCAAAAATTTTTCACCAAAAACTTTTAGGAATATTTATAATTTTAAAAAATGTTAAAAAAAGTTGTTAGTTCAATAACTGAATTACTTTTCATAAAAGTTTTTGGTATTATTGTATTTTGCATTTTAACTCAATGTTCTTTTAAAAAAAATTATTTCTTCCATATTTGTTATTAAAATAAAACTTTTTCATTATTACTTGTCAATGAATTAAGCATAATTTTACTTATCAGAAGTAGGACTTGTAATACTTTCTTCAAGTGAAGATGGTATATTGTCGTTCTGATCTACTGGCTGCAATTAAACTGATTATTAATCATACTTGACAACAATGAATTAAGAATAATTTTGAGTTTAAAAAAATATTGATACTTTGGTGCAAGTATTAAGTTTACTCTTAAATTTTAAACTTGATACTTCTGATGAAGTTTTAATGCATAAAAAAGACTGAAGGTAGTAATTTACCTTCCCAGTTGGAGGTTCTTTATTTATTGGTACTTTTTGCTTGATCAAACGAAGAACTTTTTCCGCCAAGTTTCTCTCTTTTTCAGTTAATTTTACAATTGATGGTATTGGATATTTTGGAGTTGTAGGAGACACAGGTGTGGAAATTTCTTTTTTTTCATCAGCTTTATCCGATTTCTTTCTTCCAAGCTTCAACTTATTACGAAGACGGAGGAATAACCTCACGCGTTCGACCTAGCAAATATTCTTCCAACTAATATTAGAGAGTAACTAAAAAGAAATAAAACTTTCTATAAATAAAAAATTACGCTCATTTAACAACAAAAAATGTGGAATTTAAAAAGACAACAAAAATGAACACATAAATAAAGTGATTTTTGATTTGTGTTACCTGTTGCAAACGTGTTAAGCGTTCTAATTCCCACTGATGTTCAAATATTAACGAGTCACCACGTGGACGCCAAAGACCAAGGTTTTCTTCACCTCGGACATATGCATATGACGTATCTAGCACACGTCGTTGTCTTCGTGCAGTCCCTAATATAGAAGATTTAATAGAATTAATAATTATTTATGCTTGCACATATTCAGTACAAAAATTTTTGCATGCTAATATATTACCGAAATAAATTTGCAGCTTTCAAAATCACCAAAACACCAAACATTTTGAAATTATTAAAATGCGAACTTCAATTACATACATAAAAGTGAACAGAATAGAAGGTTTAATTTTGATAAAAAATGTCTCTGATTTATTTTTTAATTTTAACTAATTGAAAAATGTACAGGAATGATTAAATTATTAGTATTACTCCTCATAAATTTTTTACTCTTTTAATTTATAAATTTAAGACAATGACAAATCACCATACAATATTGATGATATTAAAGAAAACACAAGCGACATGCACACCTGGACTACCTTTGTCGAGGAATTCCTTGACAGTAAGCTCGTATACACCTGGCACTCGATTCATTTCAGGACTTTTACTTATTCCACCAATAAGTGATCGACAAAACCTCAAATAATTAAGGCTATCAAAATTTTTAATTTCTTTTTTTCTAAAAAATCATACCTTAAAAAATTATTTGTAAAAAACCAACAAAAATGACAGTAATATTATGAAAATTGGAACTAATTTATTGAAAATAAGGAGAAAGAATTAGATACAAAATGCTTGCTGTAATTTTACTTGTATTATTAAAGTATTAACAGATGACAAGAATACATTATATAAATCTATGAAAATTGCACAAAAAAAAGTTTTTCAACTTACAGTATTAGATTAAACTAAATTAAATTCATAATTTATAAATAAAACAAAAGAAATCAAACTAATTACTAAAAAATGCTATTATTTAGATTTATCTCACTTCTTATACTGATAATATTTTAGTGCACTAAAATAAACATATATATTTGTAACTCATCTTTAAACAATTAGGTTGAAAAAAAGTATTTTTCAGTCAATAACTGTGGTGATAAAAACCAGTTAGTACTTTGATAATTGTGATTAATTTTTGCAAAGCAAAAATTGTTAGGTGGAAATATTAGCAAAAACTCTAAATCATTATTGAGTGTAGAAAATGAAAAACGAAGCAAAAACGTATGGTATTGTTTTTTTTTTGCAGTTTTTGTGGGTGGTTTTTCAAAATAACCTGAAAAAGCATATACTAAGGCCGTATTTGTACAAGGCGGCTATTGTTGGTAACCTGCTAGCGGCTGAGATTTTCGAGTCTCTTGCATAAATCATCATGCATAAATCTTTGGTAATAACAGCTGGTTGAGCGCAGTTCTCCAATTCCATATAAGCGGAGAGTGTCATGTATACCTGTTCTCCATAATTTGATACTTTGTTGAGAAGTGCTGAATTATGTAATGAACTATCCCATGCTGCTTCAAATTGGAAGAACACTCTAAAAATATATTAATACTTTCATTACGCTCAAAATTTCAATTAAATAATTTGATATTTATTAAACATAAGAAAAGTATTCAGTTCTTTCTATTAAAAACATGAAATGATACTTAGAAGTAAGTGCTTAATTTCAATATCTTCAGGGAATTATTTACAATATTGGATAAAAAGTATTGAATTTTGTTTTATCAATTGTATAAACTTAACTGAATTGCACTATATGCAAAAAAGTATGAAATACTCAAAATCAATACAAAAATATTAAATTTACACTTTTACCGTGTAAAATTGTCTGTTATTACTGAAATGGATTAAAATCCTCAAATTGGAATAACACGAAAATTTATCTAAAATATTGTTGCATCTACGTATTATACTGTAATTATATCTAGACTATTATCTAATTACATTTATGCTTTGCATTATTCCTTAAAAGTTTCTAATAAATTTTTTACAAAAATTGTATCAACAAAATTATTCAATCATAATGTATTTCGTCAAAGAAATGTAATCAAGAACATATTTAGTATACCTGTCATCCATCGAGAATTCTAGAAATGTTCCGGGGAAGAGTCCCAATGAGAGGACATCAACATCCTCACCATTCCATTCCGGTGTTGACCTTATGCGGCCAACAACTAATTCTTGGCAATCTTTCCACTTCACATCATCACCTCTTTCATGACATATTGTAATTTTTAATCGTCGTTGAATGCCTTGATGAAGTAAAAATATTCCATGAGTTGGTAAGCCTAAATCAAAATCTATCCATTAAACTTACCAGTAGTTCAAATAATTTATCCTGATAAAATGATATTTGTAATATTAATCAAAGTTACATGCAATTTTTCCGATAAATTTTAGTTCCATCAAATTATATCTATTATTTTGAATCAATGAACAAAACTTGCCTTGTGCATGATCAACAGCTGCTGGAACATATTCACCATTGCTTCCAAGTTCACAAATTTCGAACCAAATAAGTAAATCATATTTTGATCGAATTTGATTCAAACTATAATAAAGATATCAGTTTTTCAATGTATTTGCTCTTATTAAATTATAAAGAAACTCAATTACTTATTTGGGATTATAGTAGATTTTTTGCTTTTGACAGGTGTTGAGATCATTAACGATGGCTGTTGAAATGATAATTTGGTTGATAATCTTCGCCTTAAAATAGTGTTAGTAGCCTCAATTGTATAAGCAAAATAGTTGGTCAAATTTTTTGAATAAACTAAATAAAACCTTGAGCAAGTAATTTGCAACTGTAGAAATCATTCTTTCATTTATACTAATTTATAACTATACAAAGATACAAACAATTGATAATCTTCATGCATTTTCTATGCCAATGATATACTTATTCACAAGAAAATTAGTTTACCAAAGTTTTGCAACATTCAGTAGTATTGTATGAGAAAGATAAGTTGTTTAAAAATAAAGTATATTCATAAAAATGCACAAACCCAAGAGAACTGTTTTGACGTTCATATACAAACTGTTGCGCAGCAGGCTTATAATGCCCAAAAATTTCAAATATAATTGGAAAATGATTGACGTAATGTAAGAATGTTGATGACATAGTTAGTTCAATATTCTAAAACTTTCAAATTCCATTCAAAATCGTGCGAACTTAATTGGATTAATTTGAAAAATAAGATAATGTCATGCCTTTTGAATAACAAAATGTTAGTACTTAAGCAAATAAAATAGCTAATAATAAATTGCCTGGATATGGTTAAAGATTAGTGGTGTTTTGGTTGTATTTTTCATTGGTTCCGTTGAGAATGCTTCATCATGACGGTGTAAAAAGCTATAACAATTTAAATTTTTAAATAAAAGTATTTTGTTTTTTTTTTATTGAAAAACTTCATGCATGGCAAATGATTTAAATCATAGAAAGAAAAAGCAAAAAATATTTGTGTTTTACGCCAAAAAACAATTTCTGATAAACTCAGTGCTGATAAGCTTAATCAGCACTTAAAAATCAACTAACTTGAATTGGCAAAACACATCACCGTACTCCTCTGAAATATCTGCTGCTTCAATAACTGTTATACGAAAACAGTATTCTTTATCAGCTGGCATATGTTCCGGATACTGTACTGTTTCTTCATTAGTTTGTTCTAAAAATTTTTAAATTATACTCAAATAGATTTTTCAGTTACAAAAACGCAGCCAATCAATCTACTCTAATACAGTATTTCTTGGAAGTTAAAAAGCTTTCAAAATTTACTCGAAACAGATTAAATAAAGTTTTGAGTGAATAGTAAGTCTAACCTATAATTGGCTGTGTGTCGCTGTCTTTCGCGTTATTACCTTCTACAAAACGTTCATTTGTGGATTCTAATGCAGTATTTGTGCGCTGAACTTGTTTCACAAAGTCTTCCCTACGAAAATGACATTTTACAGACTGATGAACACCCGAGGATTTTTTCATTTCTTCTGCAATCATATTTACATATTCAAAAAAAAATCATTAATTCTGGCTTTTTGACATGTAATTCAAAATTATAACTTTATATCTATACAAATTATTATAGCGCCAGAAATTTTCGATATTTTCGAAAAGACAGCGTTGAAATTTTTTGACTCTTTAGTAAGGATTACCAGTATGAACAGGTTCAATAGCAACTCGGAGATGACCCTTGACCTCTGCCTTTTCATTGACAATTACTACCTTGTGTATTAGTGGTACATTATGTACCAAATTATTCAAATACACAAAAGCCCTGCAAAAAATACATACATATATAGTACCAAATCACGATAACTAATCAAAGAT